AAGAAATTAGGAGCTGGATTTGGCAGCTCAAGCACCTACTGTAGCATGATCCACTTACCAAACGACTGGGAAATTCCAGGCCTCAAGTTCTAGTCAAGCAGCAATTTAACCATAAAAGGTGCAACTGAAGATGATTCCTTTAGCTTCTCAAGAGAAATGCCTGGTTGTCGAATGCTGTCATAAAATATCATAGAAGCTTCAGACCACCTGTGACATCATCAACCATGTCGGCCGGCCCTGCTCAAGAAGTTCAACAGATCAGAATGCATAGTTCAAAGTGACGGTGGGAAGCATCGAATATAGATTTTCATGGTGTCAGACTCAATAAATTCATCATCCCCATAAGAACTCAATATCTTATGGTATGAATGACATTTGGGAAAAAATAATTAATGCATTCAAGTGATTAAATAGTTTAAAAAGAAATATGGTCACCGAATTGAAGTGGATCGGTCGTAAAGAGCACTTCTAAGAATTTGCTCTCTGTTCTCTGTAAGCTTTTTATGTCAGCCTTTTCTGAATTCTAACAAGTTGTTTATGTCTAGGGCATTCATTTCTGCCTTGATTCATTGAAAAAGTCGATGCTTCGAGTAAAAGCTCATGATCATATAGGACTAGGAAAATAATTTTCATCCGAGTATCATTAGTTCTCTGAATATGACAAGAGCTATTTAGCAATTATTGTGAATAGTACATAAGAAACAATTTGGATGAATAACCCATGATCAACAACCGAGAAAATAGGGGTAACAAATAAGTAGTCGTTGAGCAAAATCATCAACTCAACTTGAGCCAAATACAGCCCAAGTAGTGGGTTTGGCCCCAGGATCAATTGAGATAGGTTAGACCATGATCTAGCAAGAGGTAAACAGAACACCAAATTGAAATTGTAATATTCTTGCAATATTATGCTAATGAAATTTATAATCCAGATCTTAACTAATGATCTAATGCCTTCCCTGATCTACTCTACAGTGTCATTGTCCTCTTCCCTCCAACTCCGGCTTCTTCGCTTCAGATTCTCTACAGGATATCTCCCCACATTTCCATGTCAGGCCCTCACCTTACTTCCCTAAGATAAGCTGCCGCTTATCAAGTAACTAATCCAATAACTTAATGGCATTACCGGTTGCAATTTATACTGATGCCAATCACCTGACCTCTCATGGCAAACAAAGTACATGCAACTTTGTAATCAACTGCGACTGATTGACCATTGATAACAGCCTACCAATCGGAGGTCATTCCCTGCTGTTTGACATCCAGGGTTGTTAGCTCAATTCCGTCATCTTTTGAGTTTCTCCGTCTTTCCATCCTTACTTCCACACTATATTAGACGGATAATTTGATTGAACTATCTCATTGCACCACACTATATTAGTCAGCCTTTAAGTCAAAGGTGATTCGTGGGCACGACTACCACATTGCACCAAAATCTCAAGTTAAAAAAACCTTCTAATAAAGAAACTGCTTTGCACAATTGACATTCAAATATAGGGGTGGCAATATCAAAGAAAGAAAAAGTTAAGACTTCTATGTGTAACAATATAATTGTAGTGTTAAAATTTCAATTCTAAGAAGCTTACCCAAAATAGCCATCACCGTCCTTGAATCTGTAGGAAAAGATACAGTCAGTAACAATTTCGTAACACAGCAATCATGAACTATCTTGAATGAAAAAAATTATTCACAGGTATCCTGATAGAGTAGTCAAAACAGTTTCCACAATAAACCTAATTTGGTATGAGTTCCTCGCTAATAAAAACAAAAAGGAAGTTCCTGAAAACTTATACAGCAAAAAGATAATCTACTCACTCGGTGCAATTTGTGTCCTTCCAGCATCAATTGTTACATGGGTTGGTAGCTTTAGAGACTTTGCTCTTCCCTGTTACAAAACAACAAGTGAACAAGCATGATTATCGTTCAAAGTAAAGGCTTACGGAAAACCTTTTCTAGTACCTTATCATGCACTAAATATATGCTTGGTGCACATAAATATGAACTGGACATAGAAAAAATGAACATTCAAATAGTACAACACTAACTATACATGCATCAACATGTAAGGTTCAAACATAATGTCATAAGAAACCCAGATCTAATTGGAACTTGTATAGTCTTTGCTTGAAACTAGAGTATGCGGTTTAGTTTGAGAGTCCATTGAACATCAGAATTGAAATGAATAAAAGCAATTTTCTCTGAATGATGCACAAGGATGCTATATATAACTAGAGCAACCTACAGCTACCTATTCAGAGAAAGACATGAATAAAAAATCAGTTGTCAATGATATGCCACAGATGAGCATACAGGAAGAAAGAAAAACATGCAGCCTCGAAATTTTGATATACTGCCACTAACACTTCAGAAGCACTGATGGATCAAAGAATGTCAGCACAATTGGTTTGGTAGAACTTTGATGTCTCAACATGTTCCTCTTTCCCTTTTGCATGAGCATTTTGACTCAATATTGAGTTTATTGGCACGTCTACTAGCTATACATCTAAGCAGGCTGTAAAAGCTTATGTTACAATGCTGCTTGCTTTCTGTACGCTTGACCCACTAGCAAATATCATCTCAAATCTCTCACATGGAAACAGGTTTCTGAATATGGAACAGTTTCATGAGAGGAAAGGATTCAAGTCAGAGTGAAGGTTCACATTGTAGCAGCTCTACATTTACAAATATGAATAAGCTAAATGCCAGTGTAATATACTTGTAGCACAAGAAGATCTTCCTCGCTTTCAATTTTCAGTACCACCTTAACTTGGCCACAATCCTCCCACCTGTCAACAGAAGAATCGATAGACAACAAAATCAAAATACCCAAATCGGAGTATATGAAATTCTAATGTAACATTTTTCTCAATTTTGTAGGTGTAAGCAAGATATAAAAGATAATCATTTAGTACAATTCATTTAAGAGTAGCCAAAGGTACCTGCTCAATGCTTTTGGAGCTTTATGAAGGAGCTTTTTGTATAAACCCAGAGTTGCATGGCTGAAAGACATAAAAGTAAGCCCATCAATTTAACCTTCTAGAATCACAATCAATATCAACTAGAATTCAAATATCATTCTATATTATTATTAGCATCTGATTTTTTATACTACATAGAGCCTATATCATAGATGCATGCTACCTTTGATGTTCAAGCCCAGGGTTCTCAATTTCGATGTGTACCGCCTGGTATGGGTGGTACGTACCGGTCCGAAAGGATACCGGTATGCGGACCGCCCTTTATCGAGTGTTACTAGTGTTTTGATTCCGTATCGAACGATACAAGGTCTGTATCGGGAGGTATGGTCAAAATCCGATGCATACCGATCGATGTGCCTTGGTACCGGTCAATACGCACCGGATTTCGAACGTTACCGAGGTGTACCGGTCGATACATCTCGGATTTCAATTGTTATTGAGGCGTACTGATCGATACGCCCTAGGATTTTTAGACCGTTACCTCTAGGTATTTTTTGAAGGTATTTTTAACTCTTTTTCGGTGTACCATCAGTATGTCTCGGTACAGTACGTACTCAGCAGGGCTCAGTACAACGGTACGGACCAAAATTGAGAACCTTGTTCAAGACTGTTATTAAGCTCCAAATGCTCATGGAATTTGTTGATTAGGAACAATTATGACTCCCAAGTAAAACAAAAATTATATGCCAAATTGCAGATGTCAGCTGGCATAGGATAAAAACAAGATTATAAAAATAATCATGTCATGAGACAGTCTTGTATACTGAAGATCAAGTGAAGTGGCACCAACATGAAAAATTCATGATGCAGGAAATCAAGTAACAGGTCCTTATGGCATGCTCAGCCTTAGACATACAGTGATCCCTGCTCATTAAACCACCATCATATCTCTCTCTATTGGACTGAGACCAATATACAAAATTAATAAATAAGTTAAATCTTCCAAGATTAAACTTCTCCAAGAATTCTATGCAATAGCAACCATGAAACAATCTTACACAAAATTGTGGTAGCAAGATAATAGGTACAATCATTCAGGACATATCAAAATGAAGAATACCTGCATTGGGCAGCAATCTTTCCTTTCCCCATCTTCAAATCATTTCTTACAACCAAAACCTGCACAATTTCAACATCAAGATGGTACCAAACAAGAATATGCAAATAAAGGCATCGATTTTAGAATTAAAGAAGCATTCCAGGAACTGAGAAGGATTATAATTGAAGAATACGTTTCGGTGTACAAAGGAGTCATACAAGGAACAATAAGAACAAGAAATATTACATATTGACCTACCATTTTGAAGTCTTCAAGGATTTCAGCAAGGTTTTCGATCTCGAGAAGGGCGGGTTTCTTCTGCACGGCCCTCTCCACAAACTTCGGCTCACCGGGACCATCGTCGGCCAGAACGGCGACTCTCTTGTTATCAGCTAAGGACCTGATCCAAGAAAATGGGAAGGGCAAGCCTCTCTTGGTCTCCTTGTGCGCGAAGAGGAAACCCAACGCGAAGCAACCGGCGCCGATCAAGAGGGTGGTGGAGATGCTCAGGAGGGAGACAGAGGCGCCCACGAAGAAATCCGCCATCGAAGGCCGAGAAGAGTGGTGGTTCCGAGATCGCTGCCGATGGAGGATGAGGAGTGGCGAGAGGCGGCGCAGTATTAGGCCAGTAGGGGCGGAGCGGAGGGGGATCTCACGAGTCGCGTCGTCGGAACCACTATGCTGATGGATCGGGTATGGATATATGGATCTGGAACTTTATCGGATCCGGATCCGGACTGTCACACGAACGCGAAACTGACAAATCCATTTCGGACCGAATCACCCCTGAAATCTTTCAGGTGTGACGTGCCTACCTCCAACATGCTTGGAGATTCACGTTAGCTATATTCTACGGTCAGACGCTGATCTGTTGCTGCCGCCGGAGTTCCAAGCCAAAGGGAGTGGTCTGCGATCTTTTAGCGATTGACATCGTCTTCCTCCTGCGCAATGCATTGATGTAAAGGGGTTGCTTTCGGGTAGTTGCCGCGATCACCTTCGCTAAGTATAGAACACAGGTTGTCTGAACTAGAAATGGTTGTGAAGTCGAGGAAGGAGCGGTGGGCATTACAGGTCGGAGCACTGAATGGCTAATATTGCGTCCATAAGTATCCATCTTGGCCGAGGAAGCCCCGCCACTTCCTCGAACAGAAGCAATGCAGCTGATTTCGATCCTAAGAGCTTAGTTTTGATTCTCATGGTCTCCTCTTCCTCCTCTAGCAGCGGCCGGTCGCTGCGTCATGCTCATCACGTACGAGAATCCATTTGAGGGGGAGGAGGAGGGGTGCAGGCGCTGCGAAAGGAGAGGTAGGGAGATGGACAAGGAAGCAATGGAGCGCTATTTGCTGTCGATGTTCTGGGAGAGCGACAGGGACGAGGTGGCGGCGCTGGTCGACGGCCCCGCTTTGGCTTGGAAATGCGGCAGCCGCAGCAGAACCGCCGCCGTCGGATGCAACAAGAAGAGGCTGCTCTCGAAGCAGCTGTCGATGAAGGAGACAAAGAGAGAGGTCAAGTGGGAGAAGCGGCGGAGGCAGATACTGCAAAGCAGGCACATGATGACGGAGAGGGGAGGAAAGGAGGAGGAGGAGGAGGACGAGGACGAGGCCGGCGATGGTGGCGAAAGGAGGGCTACCAAAAGGGTGAGGAACCTGACGGATGAGGACCTAGACGAGCTTAGGGGAAGCATAGAACTTGGGTTCGGGTTCAACGAGGAGGAAGGCGGCCACGACCTCCTCGACACCCTCCCCGCACTCGATCTCTACTTCGCCGTCAACCGCCAGCTCTCCGACATCAAGATACCATTCTCGCCGAGCCCGATGACCAGCCCCACCACCGCCTCTACTCCGTCGACCTTGTGCGGCTCTCCGAGCCCTCGGAGCCCCGACGAGCATTCAGGAGGCCCCTCGGAGTCGTGGAAGATCTGCAATCCAGGTGCAGTAATACCACTGCACCCACCCTTTTTATACGCAGGTGTTCGACGAAAAGGCGTGTTGGAGTTACTGATTGGTAATGATGTTGGGGTTGAACAGGAGACGATCCGCAGCATGTGAAGACGAGACTGAGGCACTGGGCGCAGGCCGTGGCTTGTTCTGTCAGGCAAAGTAGCTGAGAGCTGTATCTTTCTGGGTGAGTCTTCTTCATCCTCCACTTCGACATGTCCTCAGGCTGTTCTCGATGTCTGTTCTTCATTTTCACTACCTTTTTGTTGTTGTTTCTTCTTCTTCGTCTTTCTAGTATCATCACCATCACTACTGGCGGGGGGAGAGAGAGAGAGAGAGAGAGAGAGAGAGAGAGAGAAGTAAGTA